CAGGAATCCAAAAGTTAACAGTCTGGTCATTCATAATTATTAATTCATAGGATTTATTGATGACTGAACTAGTTCAGAGGTTGCTTCTGTGTTAACCTGTGTTAGTTTCCTCAAACTCTGTACAGTGGAATAAAATCTGCCCGTGGGAGTTTTTAGGTACTCTGCAGAGATGAGATTTTTGGAGCTAAGTCATAGATGTATGAGAGATGTAGCAGGTCACTTTGGCAGTTTAAAATGCCTGCTTGTTCGTTTTCTAGGACTTAAATTTACTTGCAGAAATTCTGCAGAATGAGTAAGTGATTTGAGAAGCAGGATGATCTGACAAAAACGTAGGCATGGTTCTTCTCAAACCACAGTAAACTCTGCCTGACTCCTTTTTTTGCTATATTATAGGCCTTTTAATGGCATTGGTTCTGGGATTATTTTTTGATGGCAGAATTAGCGAGGAGCATGTGTGAATAGGATACAAGCTTGCCAGGACCTTTATTTTTTAACATGTGGTAACTTATGAGGAAACCTGATCCAGCTACAAATAAGACACGCTCATTTAAGCAATGGTCCTAATCGTAGCAGCATCTCCCACCATAAGACTCCTGCTTCTAGTCCAGAGATGAGGGTATACGAGTTGTTAGCGCAGTTCATCCTGCATCACAGCCGGCAATAAAGGCAGTCTGCTGTTATTTGGGAGCTGAGAGTCATTTAATATTCTAACACTCAACTTAGTTTGTCTCCGACTCATCGATACGTTGTATGGGAAGCACTGAGCAGTGCAAGATGAACCCCATTAGGAAGGTCCCTTCCAACTGGAACCATTTTATGATTTTACAAGATCCCAAAAGAACAAACCTGGCAGCTCTGTGGTTTTCAGCATGTCTGCATCCCATCCTTTCCATCCCATGATTTTTGGCCTTAGAAGTGTCTGCTCTGCATCCGGAGAAGATTGGATGGACAGCACTGGCAGCATGTAATGCATCCAGTAGGCAGTCCTGACTTGAGCAACTCCTTTAAATCTTCCTTAAGCTTTTCAGGGCTATTTTCTTTGACCTTTATTTAGTTAGAATATCCCTTCCAGGAAAGTAATTATTGCCAGCCCCTTGGGTGGTTGCTGTAAACCCAGTTTTGCTATATTGGAGCAGTTGTGGTTAAAAGTGCTGTAGTTAAGCATCAGCTCTAGATTCTAATCCTTTCTTCTTCAGAATCTGAAATGAATGAATTTTGCTTTCAAAGTTTCCATAGCTTGTCTCAGTGTAATAGTGGCGTTGCTTTGGGCTTTTATGTTTTTAAACAGTATTGAATTAGAGAGAAAAAGAACTCTATTTTTGTCCATCGCTTTTAGTTAAAGTATTGTATTATTCCAATGACATTGGAAGCTTGAGGAGTGAGGACGGTCAAGAGCAAATCCTATTTTTACAAATAGGAGGCAGCGTTGGGAACCGTGCCTGTTTTGATGAGTCAGGCAGAAATGTGAAAGAAAAATTAATTAGTTGTACTCATCCTTTCTCTGATCGCTTCCTAAGTAAGTAGTGAGAAGCTTTCCATGAGTTTCTTGAGCATTTCTGTTAAGTGCCCCCACAGAGATACTCGGTCTCACAAGACTGCAGTTTAATCTAGCTCAAGGACTTTACAAACTCCACAAATCAAAGACCTCTTTTTTTGTTCTCTTTAAATTTGTACTCTAGAAACATTTAGCAGCATCAGTTAATGCTGGTGTAGTGTTAATGTTGAGCTATGAGGCATTTCAGTGTCAATCTTCACATTTGCTTATGGAAAAAATAACTTGGACTTAATACATGTATCCTATTAGTTGGGTTTATTCCCTTCTTTTTTTATACCTGGTTAAATGTATCCCTGTATTTATTGCTGTGGCATAGCCTTAAAAATTCACAGGACGCTCAGCTTGATCAAATAACACGATGAAGATTGTTGCCTCTCAAGTGCTGAATTTCCTGACCTTGTCCATCAGGGACAAGCCACATTTTGCTATTTCTATAAATGAAGTAGAAAACTCCAAAGGCTCAGAATGAAGCAAGACTATTTTTTTTTCTTGAGGAATTTCTCTTTAGAGTCTCAGATATCAATTTAAAT